GGGGGGATTTTGGGGGGATTTTGGGGGGATTTAGGGGATTTTGGGGGTTTTGGGGGGATTTTGGGGGAATTTTGTGGATTTTGGGACCATTTCAGACCCGTTTTCCCCCCAGAGTTCGTGGTGGAGCAGGAGGAGGGGATTTTCTCCCCCGGCCGTTTCGAGGAGCTGCTGACGGTTCCGGGGGGGCGTCCCTGGACCCCCCTGACCCTCTCCCCCTACGGCCGCTACCGGTTCCGGGTCCTGGCGGTCAACGGCTTCGGCCGCGGCGATCCCAGCGCGCCCAGCGCCGAAATCAGCACCGGCCCGGCCGGTGAGCAGCACCAAAAACCCCAAAATCCCAAAAATCCCCATCCAAATCCACTTGGAGATCACCAAAAACCCCAAAATCCCAAAAAACCCCATCCAAATCCACTTGGAGATCACCAAAAACCCAAAATCCCAAAAATCCCCATCCAAATCCACTTGGAGATCACCAAAAACCCAAAAATCCCCATCAAAATCTACTTGGAGATCACCAAAAACCCAAAATCCCAAAAAACCCCATCCAAATCCACTTGGAGATCACCAAAAACCCAAAATCCCAAAAAACCCCATCCAAATCCACTTGGAGATCACCAAAAACCCAAAAATCCCAAAAATCCCCATCAAAATCCACTTGGAGATCACCAAAAACCCCAAAATCCCAAAAAACCCCGTCCAAATCCACTTGGAGATCACCAAAAACCCCAAAATCCCACAAAATCCGGTTAAATTACCCCAAAATATCCCGAATCCCAAAAAAATCCCATTAAATCCCCCTAAAATCCCTTTAAATCCTGCAAAAATGCACAAAATATCCCAAAAAATCCCATTTTTGGGGGGGTTCCTGTAGATTTTGGGGGTCCCAGGGGATTTTGGGGTCCCAGGGGATTTTGGGGAGGGGTCCCAGTGGATTTTGGGGTCTCTGTGGATTTTGGGGAGGGGTCTCTGTGGATTTTGGGGTCTCTGTGGATTTTGGGGTCTCTGTGCATTTTGGGGAGGGGTCTCTGTGGATTTTGGGGAGGGGTCTCTGTGGATTTTGGGGTCTCTGTGGATTTTGGGGTCTCTGTGGATTTTGGGGAGGGGTCTCTGTGGATTTTGGGGTCCCAGGGGATTTTGGGGAGGGGTCCCAGTGGATTTTGGGGTCTCTGTGGATTTTGGGGAGGGGTCCCAGTGGATTTTGGGGTCTCTGTGGATTTTGGGGTCTCTGTGCATTTTGGGGAGGGGTCTCTGTGGATTTTGGGGTCCCAGGGGATTTTGGGGAGGGGTCCCAGTGGATTTTGGGGTCTCTGTGGATTTTGGGGAGGGGTCCCAGTGGATTTTGGGGTCTCTGTGGATTTTGGGGTCTCTGTGGATTTTGGGGAGGGGTCTCTGTGGATTTTGGGGTCTCTGTGGATTTTGGGGAGGGGTCTCTGAGCCGTTCCCCCCCCGCAGCCCCTGAGCGATACCCGATGGGGGTGAAGGGGGAGGGGAACGAGACCAACAACCTGGTGATCACCTGGCAGGTACGGGGGGTCCTGGGGGGTCCTGGGGGGAGTTTGAGGGGTCCTGGGGGGGTTTGGGGGGGCTCAGGGGAAGTGTGGGGTTC